CATGTACACTCCTCCATACAGTAGAAAGCGATATATGCCCTACCAGAGGCAGAGGCCCCCCCTTCGGCAATCCCCTCAGTATAGGCCTCAGGACCAACAAAGGGGTAGGCAGCGGCAACAGCACAGACGCCCGCCGCCCAAAGCAACTTCCCAACAGAGTACCCAGGCAGCAAGTTTGACGAGTCCCTCGAGGGGTTGAGAACCATTCCTGTCAATACCACTCTGAGTGCTACGAAGGCGATATTTCATCACCGCCTGAGGCCGTACCTTCATCCATGGGCCTACATCACCACCGACAAATGGGTCCTTCAAACAATTCGTCTCGGTTACACCATTCCATTCACGTCACTACCTCATCCATCCCCCCCTGCCCCGTCCCTTTTCAGGGACCCATCTCACGAGATCTTGCTCAGGCAAGAAGTTGCCCGTCTACTCACCATCGGAGCAATAGAGCCTGTTCCAGACGAATTCAAGGGCAGGGGTTTTTACTCCCGGTACTTCGTAATGGAAAAGAAATCAGGGGGATGGAGACCGATACTAGATCTTCACAACCTCAACCGTTTCTTGCGAAATCAACGCTTTCGAATGGTTACCCTAACTACAATCATCCCAGCACTTCAGAATGGGGATTGGTTCACATCCCTCGATCTTCAGGACGCATACTTCCACATTGCGATCCATCCGGCGCACAGACGATTCCTACGCTTCCAAATCGGTACAGACCATTTCCAATACAAGGTTCTGCCGTTCGGTCTCTCGTCAGCTCCACGGGTTTTCTCCAAGACCCTGGCTGTGGTGACCGCATACCTACGTCACCTACACATAATGATCTTTCCATACCTCGACGATTGCCTATTAAGAGCCCAGTCGTTGCAGGAATCACTCAGTGCCACTCAGACAACACGCATGCTCTTCCACGAACTGGGTCTCATTCTCAATGTTCCAAAGTCATCATTGGAACCACAACAAACAATACAGTTCATAGGCGCTCGTCTAGACTCTACGACCGAACGCGCATCATTACCGATGGAAAGATTCCACACGATGCAGGACTTGATCCAGATCTTACTCGTCAGCCCAAAGGTTCCCATACTACGGTGCCTACAGCTTATGGGACACATGGCCTCCACAACATATGTGGTGAAACACGCAAGGTTACATTTGCGATGCATTCAACATTGGATGGCTCGAATCTGCCCCCCCAATGTACGTGATGCCCACAGGACCATAAGAGTTCCCACCCAAGTCAAGAAATCACTTGCTTGGTGGACAATCCCAGACAATCTGCTGTTGGGCATACCCTTTCATCGCCCCCAACCGTCGGCGCAATTGACAACAGATGGGGTTGTCATCGGATGGGGTGCGCATCTCGGCCCCGAACAGGTACAAGGCCTATGGTCACCAGACGAGTCGCTGATGCACATCAACTTCCTGGAGCTCAGGGCAGTGTACAAAGCATGTCAGCACTTCCTTCCCATCATTCGGGGACAAGTAATACGAGTCCTTACAGACAATATGACAACGGTTTATTATGTAAACAAACAAGGTGGAACCAGATCCCACTCCTTGTGCGCAGAAGCGGTATGTCTATGGAACATGTGCAATCGCCACAACGTCTTTTTAATCGCAGAGTATCTCCTGGGCCACTACAATGTTACGGCTGATGCCCTCAGCAGGCATTTCTCTCTCAACCACGAGTGGGAGTTACATCCCACAGTGCTCGCTTCGATAGTTCGACAATGGGGATTTCCGTTAGTGGACCTATTTGCCACTCGTCACAACGCAAAATGTCCTCAGTATTGCTCGAGAGCAGGAATCGGACGAGATTCAAAAGGCGACGCTTTCCTATACAACTGGGGACGTCACCTACTTTACACATTTCCACCCACACCCTTGATTCCCAGGGTAGTGGAGAAAATTATTCGGGAGGGAGCCACAGTAATCCTAATAGCCCCCTCCTGGCCCAGGCAAACGTGGTATCCATACCTCCATCGCATGTCAATACGTCCTCCGTGTCCTCTACCAATTCGACACGATCTGCTCTCGCAAAATCATCGCTCCCTGCTCCATCCGCAGGTGGACCATCTCGCACTCATGGCGTGGTACCTAGTTGGTTCCAACAATCAGAAGTATCATGCTCACAATCGGTCAAGCACATTTTACTAAACAGTAGAAAATTATCCACGCGAACTACTTACCTCTCAAAATGCTCGCGCTTCTCATCATGGTGTTTCCAAAAGGGTCTAAATCCAGTCTCTACACCTCTACAGTATATCCTGGACTACCTTGTACACCTCAAAAATTCGGGCCTTACCTGTGCTTCCATTAGAGTTCATGTCGCTGCAATAGCAGCCTTTCATCAGCCTGTCAACGGATGTTCCGTTTTTTCCCATCCGACAACGAAAAGGTTCTTCAAAGGAATGTCCAACTTGTATCCACATTATACTCAACCAGCGGATCCTTGGGACCTCGAAATGGTCCTGAATTCCCTGAAGGGCAAACCCTTTGAACCACTAGCAACATGCAATCTATATGACCTGTCCATGAAGGTCATTTTCTTGTTGGCAATTACTTCCGCGAGGAGCGTGAGTGAGCTAGCTGCACTATCAGTCTCTCCTCC